CCCTTGCCGCTGGTCTCCGGGCTGCTCCGGTGGTCTCAGCCTCCAGTTCTCCTCCGCAGCCTCCTCCCGTGGAGTCTCTCGGGGTCTCAGGTACCCCTCCTTCCGGCCCTTGTCCACTGTATGCTCGTCTTCTTGCTTCTTTCCTCTAGTTTCTGCTAGAATCGGTCTTTTCTGCAGAGACCCTCTGTCTGGCCGTGTTATTCGTCCGCCATGTCCACTCATTCTTCATCAAAGGAATTTCTATCTATGGAAGCTTTAACTTTATGAAAAGTATTTCTTAAATAATAAGACTTGAAAAGTCTTATTATTTAATAATTATATTAAATGATTATTTAGATAATTAAATAATTATTTAATAATTATTTAATATTTGACTTGAAAGTCAAAATTACTCTTTGATATTTAATGTTGTGCTAACAGACATGAAAACATTAATCTCCTTGTACATATTCCTCAGAACTCTCAGATGACAAGGTGCATTGTCATGAACAGTAGTATTTTGAAAGAAATCTTTTTTTCTGAGCAGTTCTCAACAGTGGGCTTAAAATACTCAGTTAACCAAGTTACAAACAGATGTGCTGTCATCCAGGCTTTGTTGATCCACTTATAGAGCCCAGGCAGAATATATTGAACATAATTCTTAAGAGCCCTAAGCTTTTCAGAGTGGTAAAGGAGTACTGGCTTCAACATAAAGTCAGCAGCTATATTGACCCCTAACAAGGGAGTCGGCCTGTCCTTGGAGGCTTTGAAGCCAAACACTGACATCTCCTCTCTAGCTATGAAAGTTCTAGATGGCATCTTCTTCCAACAGATGGCTGTTTTTTCTACATTGAAAATCCATCGTTTAGTGTAGCCACCTTCATCAGTGATCCTAGCTAGATCTTCTGGATAAATTGCTGCAGCCTCTACATTAGCACTTGTTGCTTTGCCTTGCGCTTTTATGTTCTGGAAATGACTTCTTTCCCTCAACCTCATGAACCTCTGTTGGCTTCCAGATTTTTTTTCTACAGCTTTCTTATCTCTTAGTCTTCATAGAATTGAAGAGAGTTACGGCCTTCCTCTGAATTAGCCTTTGGCTTAAGGGAAAGTTGTGGTTGTTTTGATCTTCTATCCAGATCATTAAACTTTCTCCATATCAGCAATAGGCTGTTTCACTTTCTTATCATTAATGTGTTCACTGGAGTAGCACTTTTAATTTTCTTCAAGGCCTTTTCCTTTGCATCCACAGATTATCTAAGTGTTTCATGCAAGAGGCATAGTTTTCAGCCTATTTCTGCATTTGATATGCCTTCCTCACTAAGTTTAACCATTTCTAGTTTTTGATTTAATTTCAGAGATAATGTGACTCTTCCCTTCACTTGAACACTTAGAGGCTATTGTAGGGTTATTAATTGGCCTATTTCACTATAATTTTAACTCAGGGAATAGGGAGGCATGAGGAGACGAAGAGATTGGGGAATAGCTTGTTGGTGGAGCAGTCAGAATACAGCAGTCAGAATACACACAACATTTACTGATTAAGTTTGCCATCTTCTATGTGCATGGTTTATGATGCTGCAATACAATTACAACAGTAACATCAAAGATCACTGATCACAGATCACCATAATATATATATAATATTAAAGTTTGGAATATTGCAAGAATTACCAAAATGTAACACAGATATATGAAGTAAGCAGATGCTCTTGGAAAAACGGTGCTAACAGACTTGCTTGATGCACAGTAACACAAACATTCAATTTGTAAAATATGCAATGCCTATATAGTACAATAAAGCAAGGTGTAATAAAACAAGATATGCCTGTATAATCTCAGCATTGTTCGAAATAGTAAAAAGTTTGAAATAATTTGAAATAATCTAAATGTTTATGGAAGGTATACTACTAATTTTAATGCATCTATACAATGTGATATAAAGTATATGCATTTTAAAGGACTTGGATACCTCTGTTAGAAAGTAGAAATGTATACTATCTATCTGGGTGATGGACACACTTATAACTTTTATTTAAAATGTACAAAATCAATTCATGTAACCAAAACGTCTGTACCCCTGTAATATTCTGAAATAGAAAAAAAGAAAGTAGAAATAATATTGCCTTGGGGAAAAGGAAGTGGTGACCAGGGTGACAATAGAAAAAAGATAAATATTTTTCAATGAGTAATCTTCTGTATCTTTTGTGTTTATAACCATGTACATTGATTACCTACTCTAAGAAAGTAAAAAAATACATAAGCAACTGCTATAATCTTTGTTACACTTCTACCTATTCACCAAGCAAATGTTAGTTGAGCTCCATAGAGCACTTACGGCTTTTTGTTTTGCCTTTTTGTGATATACAAATTTGCTATCATCATTATCATAATTATTTGGACATTCAACTCAATTTATCTGTGAGACTTCAAGGTTCTTGAGTGTACTGATCACTTGGCTTATTTTGTATCCCTAAATGTTCCTAAGCACAATATCAAGCACATAGGAAGCACTCAATGTTATTTGTTTAAATCAGGGTTTCTCAAACTCAGTACTACTAGTATTTTAGGCCAGATACTTCTTCATTGTAGGGAGCTGTCCTGTGCATTAGGATGTTAACAGCATTTCTCGCCTCTTCCTACTAGATGCCAGTAGCACATCCTAAGTCATGACACACAGAAGTATCTTCAGACATTGACAAATATCCCCTGGAGGGCAGAAATTACCCCCAGTTGAGAAGCATTGGTTTAAAGCAATGACATATCCAATCTTGAGAAGCAGCTACAGAAATTAAAAATAGACTTTTAAGCAAGATTAATAAATATTAATAAATATTTTTGCTACAATATAATAATTTATTATATACTATTGGTGCAAGTGAATATTTGGGATATATATTATAGACTACAAACTAAATGAATACTAATCTTTTTTTTTTTTATTTTCTAATAAGACTAAATTTATGCAATACCCTAGTAAAAGTTTTGATTATAAGTATCCAACAGTATAAAAAGTACAAAACAGATCTGTAGATTTCTAATATATTAATACAAAGTGCATGACTACATACAGTACATCCTACAGGCAAAGAGAGGTGGAAGGGAAAAAAAGAAGACTGTGGTTGAGGTCTAGTAATAAATAAATAAATACAGAAGTAGAGATGATCCATATTATAGTATATTCTACCACCAATACTGCAGCCAAAATGTACAAAAAAAAAAAAAAACATTTCAAAATAACTCAGGAGGATGATAATGGCTGGACTCTTGTAAATTCACCTCAAAGGCTGTGAGAGAGCCGACCCAACCAGCTGTGTAGTCTACGCATATGGTGGCTTATAGCATATAGGTTTTTTTCCAAAAGGAGGAAATATAAAATGTTTAGAGTAAGAACTATAAAACTATAGGGTGTCCATAAAAAGTGGCTCACTCCTTATTGTTACACTATCCAATTTTTAAAATCCAGTTTAAAAAATAAGCACTGAGTCATGTCATTATAAGGCAGGCAAATGCTCCTCCCTCATTATGAAAATAAGTCTGAACTGGTGATATTTTTCTCCTGAACTTTTAGAAAAGAGGCAAGAAGAGTACTTTGGTTTGGGTTCAAATGAGAGGCTTTTAATGAGAATTTTAGAACTGAAGAACTCCAAGTTCAGGATATTTCAATGTTCAAAAGCCTGACTAACAGAAGCCAAACCAAAGCCAACCCACTTAGCATTAACACACACCTCTTTTCTTTTAGTAAATTTTACTTTAAATATAGAGTGAAAAACAATAAAAACCCTAATAGGTTAAAACAAGTCAAACATCCACTCTACACAGATAAAACCTTCACAAAGGTCAACTGAAGTAATCCAGAGCTAAAACTGAATTGTGCAGATTTTCAATGAAGTCATCAACAGTCATGTAACACAAACAAAGTCAATTATTTACATACTCGGCAAGCCCTCTAAGAAAATACGCCCCCAAAAGCATCAACCTTTGTTTTGTGCCATCTTGAAGACTTGAACATTTTATTTCTCAGACAGTTTAACATTTTTAATCAAGTGTGCTGTCTACCGTGGGGTAATGCTTTGGTACTATTCACCTCGGGTCTCACCTATCCCAAAGATTTGCCATTCCCCCAAAAAGAGCTTTCATTCTGCTTTAGAAATTTCACATAAATTAAAATCCGTATCAAATATTAATATGAAGGGAGGTGGCACAGGATGCAAAATATACAGTCAAGTTGACATCTCTGTATATTTAGAAATTACTTTTTCCTTCAAGGTATTTCTAACAGAAAGCTCAGTCTGTCCTGCTTAATAATCAGTAGTACAGGTTTGAATCATCAGAACCTTGGCAAGACCTTAATATTTCAAAATTCTTAACAATTACCTCTAGGAGCAAGTCCGTGTTGCTGAGTTATGACAACTTTATTATCATGAGGGAAAACAAGTGTAGCCAGCCATCTTAAAATATGCCCCAACCACTGCTTCTCAATATAGAAAGACTAAAACTACATACTGTTTATCATACAACAAATCCCATCACTGTCCCCTGAAATTCCCCTTAGTTTCATTCATTAGAAGGGGATTTAAAAAAAAAAAAAAAGAAGAAGAAGACTTAAAGAGCACTTTACAGCAGCATTCAGCTTTCCTATGAAATACTCAGCATCTTAAATATTATATACAATTCTTTTTTTAGTAAGCTAGACACTGGCTTCAGAGGTTGTGGAACTGGGGGGAAAATAACCCATTCGAAACTATTCTAGAAGTTGTCTTTTGGCAGAATAGCAGGTATCCAAGTTAAAAATAGGAGGGTCAGCTTGTTGCTTTGTGGTCTTTTCAAAACTTAAATCATTTTTTGTTCCCCTTCTACATAAAAACCTCAGTCACCACTCCTGAGTGGAGATGGGCAGAGGCTCTGGGCCCTGCTCCTCCGGCTTCTCAGCAGCTGCTTTCTTATTGCTGCAGCAAGGCTTGAATAGATGTGTGTCGATGAGGACTTCCCCAAAACGGCCTTTGTAGATAATCCCACAACATATTTTCTGTCTTTTCCAGTATGTGAGATCTAAAAAGGAAAAAACTGGTGTTCTATTGGAACCAGAAGCCATCTCTATATCTGAGCCATCATCTGACTGGTTACTATAACATGGAGACTGAGCTGGGGAGGCACTTGAGGTGGTACTGTGAGCATCAGAATTATGACGTTTAAATTCCTTCTGCAGTTTACTGATCTGGTTGCTTTTTATCCTGTTTCCAGACAGAGTTTTCACTTTCTTTGGTTTCAATGTAGTCTTTAGGCTGGGTCCTGCCCTTGCATCTACCACATGATTCCAGTTTTTTTTTGATCCTGCTGGCAACTTCTTCCATCTTTTCACAAGCAGGACACAGGCATTGCAGATGTCTCCCGAACGAGTTTCATGCAACCCAAAACAGCTCTGGAAGTCCTTTTCGTAGCGTTTACTGTCAGTGAATCGAGAACTGGAGGACTTAGCTCTGCAAATACAGCAGCCCTCTATACTTCGGTACATCTTTGGCTTGTGGAAACCAAACATCTTTTCTTCTGCGCAACAGTCTTCCAAAAGCAGCCGTTCCACGCGCAGCAGCGTCCCCGAGGTGCGGAGTGCACGCCAGGCCAACCCCCCCTCCAAGCGCTCCCTCCTCCTCAACTGCCTTGTCTAGCGAATACTAATCTTTAATACTTTTGTCATTATTCATTTATTATTCTTAACTGTTTGTGTTATTTCATATTCAGAGTTAACCTTGTAAAAAAAGGTGAAGAATTCAGAATTCCTCATTTAGTAAAACTGTATGATTTTAAACATGATGAATAATAGTATTTATGTGAGATACATCATTTTCTCCCCTTTCTTCTAGATGACTTAAATGATAGAAAAACTGATTATCATAACACCAAGGGTATGATTTGGAGTAAATACTCTATTCTTTGATGCAGATCTCTTCATAAAATAGGGATTAGACTATATAAAGATTAATTACACTAGCCAAAGAGTTAGTTCTGGATGATTTCTTTTAATTGATAACCAATGGTTTACAAACTAGAAGTTATCATCTGTGAAATTGGATAAAGAGCCTTACAGTAAGAGTGATAGGGTAACACTAAGGATATCTAAGATACATCACTGTCATCTCACAAATAGCATTAATGGGGAGAAAATACTTCATAATACATGGGTGAAGAAATTAACAAATCTTTCCCTATCTATAAGATTGTCATCTTGTCATTGAAAGTCTTAGCGGTATTAAGAGCATTTCTTGTCTCTCTTATTCAAGTCGTCTTTTTCCCTTTGTGTTAATTCCACTAAAGGGGGAAGGAAAGAAAGGAGGAAGGAAAGGAAAGAGGAAAGGACAGAAGAGCCAAAGAAAGGAGGGAAGAAGCAAAGGAAGAATGGAATAAAGTGTTTCTGTAATAGAATAAAATTGCCACAGATCTCAAGATAAAATTAACCTAGTGGCCTAATTTTATATCTTCTTTTCCTTTAATCCCACCAAAACATAATTTTTACAACATCTATAAAGTTCATTTTGAAAATTACTTAAAAAACAAATTTATTTTGCTAAATCTACTAAATTCATTCCGTTTTTATATTTTAATTTAAAAAACACATTATAAAGAACTGCCATAGACAGACTTTGTAGTTTTGTTCAACCTAACTCTAAAAAATATCATCTTAAAAACTAAAAATTCCTGCATCTTTTAATTCTAAAGAGTTTTATATTGTTTTATCTGTCTTGATACCCAAGTATCTGTCACAAAATGTCAAATGGTTTTATATACTTGCTAATAGTGACAGCACTTATAAAAAGAGGTAAAAGTATTTTCATTTTTTAAAAATATTTCTTCAAATCCTAACCTGACTAGAGTAAAAGATATGAAATTAGGTACAGTTTTTAATACTGACTTCCATTTGTTTGTATCATAACTGTATAACAGTCCATCTAGTTAAAAACAAAACAAAAGCAAAGAATGAATCAATAGGTATCTAGTTATTCATTATTTTACATTAATATAGAACATAATTACAATTTACTATTACACATAATTTACTTACATAAAAGGCTATCAATTTTGTACCCCATTTATAAAGTAAGAAGGCATTATAGGATGATTTTAGCAAGTTAGGATACTTTTATAATAAAATACATTTATACCAAATCTACAATTCAGTAGTTTGGATGATTGATCATTTATCTAACTTTAAAGACAAAATAAGCACAAAGGAATATGCTTTGTGTACTTTCATGTAGAAATAATATGTCTTCTTTGTAAGATATTAATAAATGTTATTTTATAGTAAATAATAATGTCTATATGACAAACCTCAGATAAATTGATCTTGGAATCTTGATGAAGCTATCAATAAATACAATGTTTATATTGATGAAGCTAAATCTAAGGTTTGTGTAGTAATTCCAATTTATCTTTTTACCAAGAAAAATATTGACATATAGTATTTTTATTGGACCTTCAAAAACAAACACTCTCAGTATAATAAACATTAATCCATTTCCATTATAATTTCTCTTATATTAATTTGATCCAAATGAAAGATGCTGCAGAAATTGCAATTTCAAATGGTTCAGCCTCTTTGTATGATTAAGAACACTAGGGAATAAAATAAGAGAAAAAAATAAAGAAAACACAAGAATGCTCGCTTAGGAAAGATAAAAAAGCCTCTTTAATTGTGTTATATTCAAATTATTGAAAAAACAATTTGGGAAAATCACAAAAAGTATTAACATTCAAATGGCTCTTTCACTTTGAAAAACTTACATAAAGTATTATGAGGTTTAAACAACCAACTGAATGTGACATGTACTACATTTTACATTTTAACTTGGTACCATAATCAGTGAGCTAATGGATAAGAGATTAATAAATTAAGGTGTTTCACTCAACACTCAATAGTTAAGTATAATTCATGCATAATTCTGATTATAATTTATAGAAATTACCAATGCATTTGTCTGCTAAGAGAAGCTTATAATACTAAGCATAATCATGGAACTAACATCCTATAACCTTTGTCATAGTCTATTTGTCAGAAGCAAGTAACAGGTTCAATCCACACTCAAGGAAAAGGAATTTTCAAAGGTCATGACTCATAATGTCTACCACAACAACCCAGTGAATATAGCTGGCTTTGCTCTCTCCCCTGGGCTCCAGACTACCCTATATCTCCACCTGATGTTAAGTAGGTGTGCCAAAATGAACATGTCCAAAAAAAGAAATTTTCTTATCCCCATTCATAACTCCAGCCAAATCTGCTTCTCCATTTCAGTTGATGATACCACAATTTACACTTTTTTCAGGGCAACATTGCAGTAATCTATGATTTACTTCCCACTTACTACATTGAATCCATCAGTAAGTCCGGCTAGCTTAACGTTCAATGTCCCAAATCTAACCACTTATCATGAGTACTGCTCACCATCCTAGTCATGAAAGGTTTCCTTATTGGTCTCCCAACTTTGGCTCCCTACAAGTGCATTTTTGACAGAGCAAACAATTATCTTTAAAATAATAATGAGAGACAGTAAGACAGGGAAAAAAGATGGAATAGGAAAGAAGTGAAGGAAGATTTTAAAAAGCTGAAAGATAGCATTTATAACCCAGGTGTAAGTCAGGATAAAGAATAAAGACAGTCACAAACTCTTTGCTACTCCTCTCATTAAAAAGTCAAGTCCCATTCCCCTCTGTTTGAATCCAGGCTGCCCTTAGTGACTTGCTTGACCAATAGAATGTGGTGGGATTTATGTCCTGGATGTAATGAGCTAAGTCATGAGAATCCATGCAGCTTCCACCCATCTTGTTAGAGTGCTCACTCTGGGAGCCCTGAACCACTATGGAAGAAATCCTACTACCTACCCTGAGACCACTTTTCAGGAGATGTCATGTGTAGGTACGCCATTCTAGGGTCCAAGATGAGCTCAGCCTTCTAAGGTGGCAGATGCATGACTAAAGCCGTTTCAGACCCTCCAGACTAGCCCTTCTGCTAGATGCATACTAGCAAGTGACTTTAGTCAATGCCACATGAAACAGAGAATGGTCCAGCCGAGCCCTTGCTGAATTCCTGACCTAAGAAATCACAAGATATGATAGTTTGTTGTTTTAAACCAACAAGATTAGGAATTAATTCTTACACAGAAATAAGTAATTAGAATCATCAAAACCATGAATCTAGTGGGATGCCGCTCTCTGGCATTTGGGGCTGCACAATACCATTGCATTTATTTAGTGTTGACCGACTTGAGAGAGCTTCCTTTGCAACCCCAATTCCATTCTTTATTATCTGAGAATAAAGAGAGGTCATAGCTCAATTTTTGTTACTTTCAAAAACAATGACCTTTAGCCCCAACTGTATCATCGAGCTCCCATTTGGGAGAATAATACATGGTACTTTTTTCTCTGTTATTAAGCTTAGGTTAGGTTTTTTGTTTTACGAGCTGGCCTCTGAAGAGTTGGATTCATATTTCCTTTCTGTGACTCATTTATAGAAAAATAGGAAGAGGTGCACAGAAATAGTTTGCCTGTCTCACAATTGCCCATGTTACCCATTGCTTCCTGAGTTGACTCATTTAACTTCACATACAAATACAATAAAACTTTCCTAGTTGGCAAAAAATAAAAAAGCGGAAGGAGAAGAGGAAAGTGGAGGAGGGAAGAGAAGAAAGAGCAAGCTAAAGAAAATGAGAAGAGGTACATGTGACAGAAAAAAGTGAGGAGAAGAGGGACTGGGGAAAAATTGATAAGGATGGATAAGTAAAGAAAGGAGAGAGTTGAGAGAATGAGAAAGACTGAGACACACACTAGAGGCATCCTTGATTTCTTCCTCTTTCCCACTTTTTGTATGTAAAGTATCAACAAATCCTGTTGATTCATGTTCATAATACATCTAAAATTTGTTCATTTATCACTGCCCTCATCACTACCACTCTAATACAAACTATCATCTCTTCCCCAGACTTCTACAAAAGCTTCCAAACTGGATAAGGCTGTTCTTCCGTTCTCGCCATATCCTGCAACCTATTTGTCATTAAACAGCCATAGTGATTCTTTTATAATATAAATCAGACATTATGTTTCCCCACTCCGAATCCTTTCATGGCTTCCCATTATACTGAGCAAATAATAGCAAGGCTTTCTGATCTGAATCTAAGCTAGTTCTCTGATCTCTGTTCTGAGTACTCTTTCCCTTGTACACTTTTCTCCAGCCACAAATGGCCCCCTTCTCTCATAAGTCCCAGGCTGGAAAATGCTTCACACTCTCTTACCTCACAGCCATTGCTATTCCTTCATCAGATGTTCTTTCTCCAGATACTCACATGCCTCCTCCCTCCCTTTAATCAGATTACTGTTGAAACACCAACCTCTCAGAAAGGTCAATATAAAATATCATTCTTTTTCCTCTTGCTTTGATTTATAATTCTTTTTTTTTTTTCTGAGACAGAGTCTCACTCTGTAGCCTGGGCTAGAGTGCCAAGGCATCAGCCAAGCTGACAGCAACCTCAAACTCCTGGGCTCAAGCAATCCTCCTGCCTCAGCCTCTGACTACAGGCATGCATCACCATGCCCGGCTAATTTATATATATATATAAGTATATATAATATACATAATTTATTTCTATTTCTTTTTAGTAAAGACAGGGTCTCGTTCTTGCTCAGGCTGGTCTCGAACTCCTGAGCTCAAACGATTGTCCCGCCTCGGCCTCCCAGAGTGCTAGGATTACAGAAGTGAGCCACCACACTCAGCCTGATTTATAATTCTTTACTGCATTTACCAGTATTTGGCATTTTAGTAAAGTGCTCTATGTTGATTTTTTATCAGTCTTTCCCACTTTCCCACATGTAAGCTCCATGAAGTCAAGGACCACTTTTGATTACTTTTATATCCCTAGTGTTTAAGATAATGCCTAGCACACAGAAGATACTTAATATTTGTTGAATGAATTAATATAAACAATTAATATGGATTTATTCTTAAGCCCTCATCCACTTGTTAGCATGAGAAAATATAAGCTAAATGACTGTAATGTCCAATTTGATTTCAACTTAGTTTGAGCCAATACTTTCAAAAGTCCCTTTAAGTTAGTTTCCCATTTGGACAAAATACTAAGTCTTTCAACTGCCTACCTCTATCTCTGCTTCTCCCTCTAAAAAGGTGACTAGCATTGTGGATGATAGAATAATGCTTGTATATCCTTGTGATATAAAGAGACAGGTAGCCCCTGGCTAAGAAATTTAGTAAGCCTTTTGTCTAGAATATTTTCTGTAAATATTCTCTCTTATTTGATGCTTTCTTCCTCATGTTATCTATATTTGATTAGAATGGAAAATATCACAATCATTTTATTATGTAAAAATAAGGCAAAACCTATTTTTGGTACATTAGAATTTCTGGTCAGAAGTAGTTATGA